CCCCAGCTGTACCTGCAGGCCCTCAGCCCCCGGGCCTTGGTGACACTGCACAGCCTGCCCGTGGGCTTCAGCCCCATGCTGCCCACCACTGCGTCCCGCACGTACTGCCTGGGGGGAGACAAGGGCCCTCAGGGACAAGCACCAGGGAGGGGACACCCCCTCAGCAACGTCCCCCACCCTGGTATGGCACATCTCATGGCACAGATTGTCCATGGGAGGAACTCAGCCCCCGGGCCTTGGTGACACTGCACAGCCTGCCCGTGGGCTTCAGCCCCATGCTGCCCACCACTGCGTCCCGCACGTACTGCCTGGGGGGAGACAAGGGCCCTCAGGGACAAGCACCAGGGAGGGGACACCCCCTCAGCAACGTCCCCCACCCTGGTATGGCACATCTCATGGCACAGATTGTCCATGGGAGGAAGGAGGTGGTGGCTGAGAAGCACAAGCAATGATGGGAGCACCACGGACCTTCACCCAGCTGTGCCCCTGGGCTGCCAGCAGATCTGCCACAAACCAGGGTGGAAAACCCAACGAGCAGCAACTCCCCTCCTCTCCACAGAGTCTGCTGCAGGGTTTGCTTCCCAGGCAATGAAGAATTCCCAGGATGTTCCTTTCCCACCATCTGACAGGGTTGGGATGACCAGACCTGCCCCTGTCCCCAGGCACAGTGCCCCTGGTGCCAGGCAGGCATGTTGGGGACAAACTGCAGTGGCAGGACATGAGGGGATGGTTTTAAACTAAGAGATTGGATATAAGGAAGACAATGTTGATAGCCCAGGAATTGTCCCTAGAGGTGGCAGATGCCCCATCCTTGGAAACATTGAAGCTCAGGTTGGATGGAGCTCAGGGCAACTCGCTCTGGTTGAAGATGTCCCAGCTCATTGCAGGACAGCTGGACTAGGTGAGCTTCCAAGGTGTCTTCCCACCCAAACCATTCCATGATTTGATGTGCAGGGCCTCCAATGTTCCCTGAGGACAGCAAGGAAGCCCCCACCATGCCCCACCAGGCTTGGGGTTCACTTACTTGCCACATTTCACACATTCTTCCACAAACATGTTCCCGTGGAGCTCAGCCAACTTGTCCCTGTGGGAGAAACAGCAGAGGTGAGCTTGGGGAAGGGTGGAGAGCTCTGGGGTGACAGGGAGAGCTGCCCCAAACCCCCTCCTCACCCCCAACCCTGCACCTCAAAGGCTTCTCCAGTTTCCAGCTCTGATGGATTAGACCAGGGGGCAGGGGAGGCCCAGAGGACACGTTCAGATCCTGCCCAGGGACCTTCTCCACCACAGTTTCATCTCATGGAAGCACCTACACCAGGGCCACCACAGCTGGGGGGAAGGGGAGCATGTCCTGGCTTCTTCATTGCAAATGCTTCCATCTGCAGCACCAGTTCTGGCCCCTGCTCTGATCCAGCCTCAAATCTTCTCTGCTCCTGGTGGTGACCTGGATCTTCCCTCAGCATGTTCCTCTGCCCTTGCACAGCTCCAGCCCTTCACTTGTTTTGATTCCAACTCCCCTCAAGCTCAGCATGAGCAGAGAAGCTGAAGGAAAACAAGGCCCCACTCTCCCTACAAGCCCCACCAGGGACTGGGAACCTCCCCAGGGTGGATGTAGACAGGATTGACTTGATTTCCCATATTTTGGGCCCAGTTCAGCAGCATTTACTGAAGCACTTGGGCAGGGGAGCTGTGCTGAAGCAGGGGGGAGGCAGTGGCACAGGCTGCAGGGTCCTGGTCATTGTTCCTTTTCTTCTTCCCATGGTTGTTTAGTCTTAAAAAAGGCAAACTTGGTGCTAGGAACAAGAACCAGGACTCAGGGCTTTTCATAAGAGGAAACAACCCCTGGAGGCAGCTCTCTGCTCAGCCAGTGATGGCTGAAGATGTTGGTGGGATGTGTCTTCTCCACATTCTCATCCCAACACCATTTTCTTTCCTTGCTTGAATCCAGCTGCTCTCCCCTTGCCTCCCCAGGCAGGACTTTGCCCCACAGGACAATCACTCACTGGTCTGAAGTGCTGGAAATGGATTTTATAACAGGCTGAAGTTTCTCCAAGGGAAAAGAGCCCGTTGCCACAAAGGCAGGTTCTTCAGAGGACATTTCTGAAACAGCCCCTGTGCTGCTGAAGGCTCCTCAGTCCCCACCTATGGGGAGAGCAAAGATCTTGCACCTTCTGGTGCCCAGAGGTGGCAGCTCCCTGCAGGGGGAAGTGGCAACGCAGGATTCCTTCCCTCTCCACAGGATCCCTGACCTCTCCACAGGATCCCTGACCTCACCAGAGCTCACAGCTGGTAAGTCAGGGCAGTCCCAACCTGGGGCCTCTCTCTCCCATCTTGCTGCCCTTGCAGTTTTGCACATTTACTGAGAGGCAAAAGACTTTTCCAGGCCTCTCTTGAGCTTCTGGAAGAAGCCAGGCCTGGTTTCCTGACCAGGGCAGCACTGCCTTTATTTTCTCTTAAAAAAATCCCATTTCAGCAAACTGTAGAACAGCCCAAGAGCCCCGTGCTCTGATCCAGCTCCAGCCATGCTGGTAAATCCAGGTGAGATGTCTCTGTGAGCAGCAGGAGCAGTTTGGATGCTCCTGTTCTCCCTCCCACCCCTCTGGATGGGCACAGAGGCAGCAGAAGGGGCCACGTGCCCTGGGTGCAGCTCTGAGCCCTGTTCCCAGGAGCTTGTGCCCTACCTGAAGCCAACATCTCACTCCCCAGGCCACAAGCTTGGCCTCACCTGCCTGTGTTTGATGCTGGGGGCTTTGATTTCCAAGGCTGGCCAGGGAGCTGTTTGCCTGCCAGTACTGGGAACTGGGATACACTGGGAAGGCACATGAACCAGCCTGAGTTTAGAGCAGAGAGGTTCTGGTAGAAATTCAGGGTTGGGATGAGGTCTGTCTCAGTGAGTGCTCTCTAGCAGGGCACCCAAAAGCTGTTGGTTGCCAAGGAAAACAATCAGAGTTGGGCTGTGGCCACCAGAGCCACCTGGGCAAGGCAGGAGAGGGCCCTGGGGGGGGCAGGGGGGGCAGTACCGTGGGAATCCCGAGCGCACGTGAAGCCCGTCCACGTTCTGGCTGACCAGGAACTTGAGGATGCCAACTCTCTGCAGCCCCAGCAGGGCCATGTGAGTCTTGGAAGGCCTGGCATTCTCAAAGGTGGTGTCAAATTTTGGGGAGAGCCCCTTCTCTTCCATCGTCCAGACACCATTGGGCCCCCTGCAGCAATAGGGACAGAGAGAGGGAGAGCGGAGAGGTCAGGCTGGGAGAAGAGTTGCAGGTGGAGCAGGAGCTTGATGGATGAGCCCAGGAAGGTCATGGATCACCCACAGCTTCTGTCCCTAATGCCAGCAGAGAGCATGCCAGGCTCCTGTGGGGATGGCTGGATGTGTGTGAGAGAAAAGGTCACAGGATCCCAGAGTGGTGGGGTTGGAAGGGACCTCTGGAGATCACCCAGCCCAACCCCCTGCCAGAGCAGGATCCCCTAGAGCAGATCCCACAGGAACACATCCAGGTGGGCTGGGAATGTCTCCAGGGATGGAGACTCCACAGCCTCCCTGGGCAGCCTGTCCCAGGGCTCTGCCACCCTCACAGTCAAGAAGTGTTTCCTCATGTTTCACTTGACCCTCCTGTGCTCCAGTTTGTGCCCATTGCCCCTTGTCCTGTCCCTGGGCACCCCTGAGCAGAGTCTGGCCCCATCCTCCTGCCACCCCCTGGAGATATTCCCCAGCACTGATCAGACCCCCCCTCAGCCTCCTTTTCTCCAGCTGAGCAGCCCCAGCTCTCCCAGCCTTTCCTCACAGGAGGGATGGATTAGGTTGGGCTGGGGGAGCAGGAAGCACAGTCCAGAGCTTCACAAGAAGGGAGAAGAACTCGGATGGAGGTGCCATCCTCCCAACCTCCCACCTGCAGCCCACAGCCCTTACCTGAAGTCAGGGATCCCTGAGGCTGTGCTGATTCCAGCCCCTGTGTGAAACACCACGTTGGAGGAGCTTCTGATCAGCCCTGCCAGCTCCTGCACCTTCCTCTCTAGCTCCTCTGGGGGGTCAAAAATCTGAGCAGAAGAGACAAACCACCCCAGGAATGGAGAGATGCAGGGACAGATCCTACCCACCTCCCAGCACAAAGACCCAGGAAGCCACAATTCTTTCTTACCCACAACAGGGAAGAAAAACCCACATTTGTTCATGACAAAAGCATTTCACTGGAGAGAAACAGCACAGTACAAACCATCTTGGTGCAGGGCAAGAGTTTAAAAGCCCTCGGGCAGAGGAGGGTACTTGTTGCCCTCCCTGAGGGGCAGCTGCTGGCCTGGGAAGTGCTCCAGGGCATGGCCAGGCAGCAGGACAGGAGCAAACCCCAGTGCCACCCCACGTGTGCCCAACTCCAGCTGTCACCAGCACAGCCACAGGGCAGGGCCAAGGGACAGGGGGTGGCATGGGAAGCCAGGGAGGGGGGGGACACGGGGACTCTGGGGCTGGACAGGGCCATGTGCCCGCATTTCTGGGAGATGCTTCTCCAGCCCAGACTCCTGGGGACAGGGGGTGAGGACAGTGTGTCCCTGTCCCCTCACGCCCCCAGACTCAGGACAGGCCCCCAACATGTCCCCGTGCCCTCTCCACAAAACCAGTTCGAAGCTTCCTGAGCACTGCTGGGGCATAAGGGCTGGGATCACCCCCTGTACCCACCCCTCAGGGACACCCACTGGGCAGTACAAAGGGTTCCCATGTGTCTGGGAGCCCCTGGAGGGGGAAGCACAAAACAGGGGGATAGTGGTGGGCCTGGAGGAGACTAGGAGGCAGTTAAGGGGCTGGGGGGGACAAGGAGGGAGTTATGGGGCTGGGGGGGACAAGGAGGGAGTTATGG